ATATTTTCATCGTTTAGATCCTAAGCTACTTAACATTTTGCGCCTGTTAGCCATACTCGTACATTATTCAACATATCAACATAAAACAAAAACGTACGTGTGGGGTAAACCTTTAACTTTAAGTAAACAACTGTTTAAATTTACTGTTGCATATTTCTAATAGTATACAAGCGCCGAAGAGAGCGTAGCTCGCGCTCGAAAATGAAAAGTTAAAGGTTTACCCCACACGTACAATTTTGTTTTATGTTGATATGTTGAATAATGTACGACTACGGCTAACAGGCGCAAAATGTTAAGTAGCTTAGGATCTAAACGATGAAAATTATTATTTGTTTAATTGTAGATAATTGTGCTGGTTAATCTACCGTAATGGAATACTTTATAAATATACATATATATTTTTCCAAAAATTAAAAAAACGGTGACGTATAAAACTAGGGTGGCGTATAAAACCATACCAAAGTAGCAAAAATGAAGATAATTAAATTTTGCAAATTGCTTTTAGTTTCTTCATATTTACACTATGTGTATATCAAATTTCAAGTGTCAGCAAAACTTCAAACAAATTTGGCAAAGTTTCGAGTTTCAGATGCCGATGGATGTATAAAACCTTAGAGAACAAAAAGTTTTGCTCTCCTGATTTTCGGCTTTAGCGTCATTATTGTATATATATATTGAACTATAGTTTTCGAAAGTTTTATCACTTTTTGTTTATAATTGACATTTTTACAGCAACTTTAAAAAATTTACGTTTTATACAGTTTCTTCAATCTCACGGTATTGTTATTGCAGATTTCGTAATCGGACCACCGCCATTTTGTAGCTATTTTTGTTACAAACAAAATAATGTCCTAAGCATTGTTTCGTACAAAGTCATCCCGCTGAGTTATTTAAAGAAAACTACCAACAAAATTTTTTTCACGATTAAATTGTTAATAACTTTTTTTCCTGATAAAATACTTTGTCAGCAAATTAGCCTGTTATTGTACTCATCATTTAAAGTATTCCTGTGTAGTTATTTCCGAGTTATCAAGGAAATGTTACCAACAGTAACTTTTCGGCCTCTGCCGATTGGACTAATAGTAATTTAACCTATGGTGTGCCATTGTGGGACAACTCTAGTGGTTCATATAGAGTGTTACAAAAAGCAGCTGTTCGTCTACTTGCGGGTATCCCTATATTAGCTCCCAACAAGGAGATAGTTCTCATGTATAAGATTCTACCACTGACCTGTCTATATCTACTTGATTCACTTTAACTCATTAATTCCAATTTATGTAATTTGCAATCTCATGCTGATATACATCAATATAACACTAGGCACGTTGGAAATCTGGTTGAATCTTATTCGCGTATTACTCTAACTAAACGTAACAAACTTACAATCAGTCTGTTCAACAAGTTTGATAATTTTTGTAGACGAAAACAGTTTAAAAACATGTCTCAAAAAACCTTTCACAGTTTTACGAAATCATTTCTTTTAAATCATTGTTTCTATACTGTGAATGAATTTTTAACTTTTATGAACACTACTCAGCCTATAAATATACCACTTAATAATGTACACAAATGTCAATAAAGATCTATTTATAGAGGAACTTATCATGACATGATTTTCCCTGAGGAGATTTTCCTCTATTTTTTCCACAGTTCGTCTTATGTTCATAAGCCCAACAAGGACTGCAGCTTCAGAAATAAATAAACAAAGCTAGTTATAGTATTAATACGATATAATCGTAACTAACTGATAATGCATAGAAACGATTCAATTTTACTAATGGATTTTAAACAAATATGAGCAGGTGGACTAAATTTGCGCATTATGGTTGCCAAATAAGTAAATTATAGCCTAAACGGCTGCTACTATTGAAAAAAAATATTAAATAAAATCAATTTTCATTTATTTAACGCAACAGTACCCGAATTTAACATTATTTCTACAAAAAACTGCCAGTGGCGTATTTTTTCTTGTGAAAACGGAACGGCATCTTCAGTAGCACGCCACTGGTTTATCCCACGAGGTTAATATTGCATTCAATAAAAGGTCTAATTACGTGAATACGCTGTAATAAATTTCATTCAAATCGTTTAGTGTAATATGAAGATCTGACCGAAAATATATATTTTTTGGAAACTTGAACACCCTTTATCTCGAATACCACGTGTCCTAGGAAAAAAGTTTATAGAGCAAACTCTACTTATTTTTTGGTAACTAATATGTTACTGCAGTTTCTGTATTTAAAGTGAAGTCACCCTGTATACATCGATAACTGCTTCTAATATAGATGACTTAATTAAGACGAATTTGATCAAGTCCAAATATTACTACTATACAACATAGCTTTCATATTAATGTTATAAAGCAATGGAGATATTATTACCATAGTAAATTAATTGCATTCTAATGTTAAAGGTGTAGATAGCATATCTGTAGGTATATTAAAAATATGTGTCCCTTTGTAATAACGCTTTAACGCTATAATTAACAGTTCCTTATTAGAAAGAAATATTATGAAGCAACACTGATAATCTTAATGAATTATGGTCAATAGTCTATCATCAATTTAAAGACTATCTTCATAAATACATTTTTCCGCCAAGACAATCAAGTTTTTGTTTTGGGTTTAACACATCAATATGCTTGTTGGATGATATATTGCGATTTATCAATAATAACACAGCCCCACAAAAAAAAAGTGGCAGGTCCGAAAGACAAGACCATGGTATCCATATGGTTTTGGGGTCGCTGAATGCGAATCCGGTGTCCATTTGACGCGATTAAGGCCAGTTCAAGGTCAAATATAAAAAATCGATTGTCAACAAACTAAACCTACGTATCTATACGTTTTTGGAATCGCCGAATCCGAATCCGGTGTTCGTTTGACGCGATTAGCTCTGGTTTAAGGTCAGTTCAAGGTTGATTGTAGAAAACCAATTGTCAATAAACTAAACCTACGTGTCTATACGTTTTTGGGATCGCCGAATCCGAATCCGGTGTTCGTTTGACGCGATTAGCTCTGGTTTAAGGTCAGTTCAAGGTCAAATGTAGAAAATCAATTGTTAACAAACTGAATCTACGTATCTATACGTTTTTGGAGTCGCCGAATCCGAATCCGGTGTCCGTTTGACTCGATCAGATCTGGTTTAAGTTCACTTCAAGGTCAAATGTAGAGCCATATATGTTGTTCGTATTTGATCCTATGTAAGACTATCCTCAAATTACGCCACTCTTGTTTCAATGTGCGTTAGGTTTATAACATCCATGTTTAAAGTGATTCATCCAACAATATCACTGTAGTAACCTAAGAAAAATTCTTCATCGTTACAAAAATATTCCTTATTTCTGTACTGATAGTAAAAAACTGTCACTTTTCCGGCTTGCTTAGTATTTTTTTAGCCATTATATTAGGAACTCTGCTCCATTATCTGCCAGGCCCAAATCTCGAATATCATTTACTTTTTTTTGTGATATTGTTCCTGTCTTTTTCACAACGTGATATGGAATATATTCGTCATCACTAGTATCACTAGCAATATCAGCGATACTTTCATTACCACCCAAATTTCCTCCTTCTTTAATATATTGGTGAAACCTGCTCAAACCCAATCAAATTTTTCACTTAGGTTTAAAACCAAAATATTTGTATAAGCATCTTTCGTATGTTGATTGATCTTTTTATATTAGAAAGTATTTAATAGACCTGATCGCTTCAAACGGACATCAGATTCGGATTCAACGACCCCAAAAACGTATAGACATGTAAGTTTACTTCGTTTTTAATTGATTCTCTACATTTGACTTTGAACTGACCTCAATCCAGATCTGATTGAGTCAAACGGACATCAGATTCGGATTCGGCGATTCTAAAAACTTATAGATATGTAAGTTTACTTCGTTTTCAATTGATTCTCTACATTTGACCTTGAACTGACCTCAATTCAGATCTGATTGAGTCAAACGGACATCAGATTCGGATTCGGCTACCCTAAAAACCTATAGATATGTAGATTTATTTTGTTGGCAATTAATTCTCTACATTTGACCTTGAGCTGAACTTAAACCAGATCTGATCGAGTTAAACGGACACCAGATTCGGATTCGGCGACCTCAAAAATGTATAGATACACAGGTTTAGTTTGTTGACAACTAATTTTTCACATTTGATCTTGAACTGACCTTAAACCAGAGCTAATCGTGTCAAACGGACACCGGATTCGGATTCAGCGACCCCAACACCATATGGATACCATGGTCTTGTCTTTCGGACCTGCTACTTTTTTTTTTGTGGGGCTGTGTAATCTTAATGAATTATGGCCAATAAGTATATTATCAAGAATTTTAAGTTTTAGATAGATTTGCCTATCTTCAATTTAAAGGCTATCTTCATAAATACAATTTTCCGCCAAGACAATGAAGTTTTTGTTCTGGGTTTAGCACATTAACATGTTTGCTGGATGATATATTGCGATTTATTGGCAATAATCAATAATAATCAATCCATCAATAATTTTTTTGTTTCACTTCTTTTTCTTCATTATTTTCACTATTGTCAAACAATCAATATTGAAATGTATTAGTATGTCCCTTGTTAAAAATAATACTTGTAATATAATAACACCGGCACATAAAAAACTAGAGTGCGAAGATTTTAATAGTCAATAAAACACACTCTTAGTCAAAGTTTGGCTCCTAAAATTTAAAGCCATTTTAATTAATAGAATATCAGGCACACTCGAAACTCAAAGATCTGACATATTATTTCTAACGTATTTTGACCAGCTAAAAACGATATCGTAGTCAGAATTTATGCACAACCGGTCAGTATATTGTGAAATATATATTTAGGGTGAAAATGGATCCAAAAATCGCTCTATCATAGTGCAAAATTGGTTTTGCTCTACATAATATCATTTCCGACGTATTTTGGCGAGCTGAAAATGATGCCGTAATCAAAATTTACATGCAATCTGCAAACTTCTAATTAGATGTTTTAGATCAATGATTGCCAAAGTAGTCTATATCGACCCCTAGCGGTCGACTCCGAACTGCAAGGGGTCCATGTGAGCGAGAACAAAAATTGGGGGTGCATGAAATGTAAATGAGATTTCACGCAGACAGTTTTGTAGTATTTATCAAAATGAAGATTTTCAGCTGAAAAAAATTTCGAAAAACATCAACTTGCGCCATGTAGGACCAGATTTGCGCCGAAAATCAGTTTTTTTCATAAAAATCAAATTTTGGAGTCAATTTTCAAAAAAATTAAGACCGAAATTAAAAATCCCAAATGCGAGATCGATAGGGACATTCAAGACGAACATTTTGAAAAAAAAATCACCCGAAAGAGTTGCACTATGTGGGGTGTAGAGTAATTTGAATGCGACAGTGGTGTTTCGTCCCACTGTGCGTCGGGGCCATGTGTTGAGCATCTGGTATAAAGAGTAAATCGATATTTCTAATAACGCGCCAAATGCATTCAAAAGAACGTAGAAATTCCGATATATTTAAATAAGTTATTAGATTGTGGCCAGGAAAAAAAATAATAGGTCAAATAGCTGGTTTTTAGGCGGATTTTCCAAGCTATAAGAATTGATTAAATAAAATTGACTAATCCGTCCCGTATTGCTACACGGAGTCACTAGAGGAAAGCTAGGATTACTTGTAAGTCCAATTAGTCACAGAATTATTTATATAAATGTAAATTCAGTCCATTAGACAACTATTAACATGGCATAGTTATGCCAAAGCGTCCCGATATTCAGGGTTCCCGCCAGTAAGATAAGAACAGAAACGTCTGGACTCAAGAAATGGGCGTGTCGAAGCGAGGTGTCGAATTCAAGAGAGATTTCCGAAAAAGGTAGTTTTTCCTTGGGTTCCACATCGAGTAGTCCACTTAGTCTTAGAGTATCGGGTTAATTTAATAATGGATAAAATTATTCCAAATTTTGCTATGGATTGCGCATTTCCTGAATCTCAGTACGCTGTCGCGTGTCAATAAATTAATTCATAATGTTTTTCGAGCCCGTTGTGTCGTTAGTTTGTTTGTTTTGTTTTTTTTTATTATTAAAACCCTTCCTAGAAAGTTTTAGTGTTTTCTTGTTCTTCCAACTTAAGTGTCACCCTATACAACCAACCACTGGATTACCTTGTACATGAGCGACGTACGGTAAGTGTCTGAAATTCATTCTCTGAAAATACAAAATTTCTAAGCCCACGTATTAATTAAAGTCTGGTCATAGCGGTAGATAGATAAATAAAGAAACCCCTCAGGTTACAACTGTATTTATCTCAATAGCGTTCTCTCCGTAAACGGCACAGATGGATCTAGTGGCGTCCGACCCCTTTAACTCGTCTATTAAATTCAAACAGAAGGATATATTGGTTTTTTTCTACTCGAAATCACATTTTCGTTGCACTTAAACGGTAGTATGACACTAGAACAACTTTGAAAAATGTCCAATAATTATTGATTTCCAAGGCATAAAAATCAGAACGCCAGCGAACTTGCATTATCCCAATATGTCAAGATATGAAAAAAGTGTATCTTTACTTACATTAAGCTCAACTGGTAAGGAAATTCTTGCTCATAGGCTTGCCTACCACCAATAATCCTTTCTAGAGCACAGTCACTATCGCCCAATAGTAAAACTAAAAAGATTACACCTGTGACAAAAATCCAGGAAAGAGATTAAGGGATTTTGGGCCAACCTTTTCTTAAAAGTACCAAGGATTTGACACCTTTATTGCGTTTTTTTCAAGACTATTTAAACATTTTTTTTTGGAGGTTATTTTTACCATATAATTAAGAATATCTTCCGAAAATAACAATCATGAGAAACGACAATATGCGTGTCATCTATTCAGTAGAGACAAATAATACGCATAAACTGTTCAAATAGACGACACATATGTTGTTGTTTCTCGTGTTTGTTGTTCTTGGGGAATATACTTACTTTAATTATATGACAATCACTTCTATACAATTTTAAATAGCCTTGACAGAGACACAATAGAGGTGTCGAAACGTCAGCAATTTTAAGAAAAGGGTGAGGTTGTAAATTCATTGCCTCAAACCCGTTAATTTCTTTACTAAAAACTGAATACGTTTTGCTGTAGAACAATAATAAAAAAGTTCCAACAACAACAACAACATTTTTTACGAGTGACAGACTTGTTTTTTGAAAAATAGAATTTTTCTCTCGTCACACACAAACGAAAACTTACCTGACGTTAACAACAATATGCAATGTGTGACCACATGCATTTTAACGCGTTCTGATAAGAGCACATATCGGCCAAGTATTTGCAATAGCTCCAGGTTATCTGTCGCTGTACAACATGACTTATTGCATATATCGGCGTTTTATAGGTAGGCATAATCGCCGTTTCGCGTAAGTATAAATATTGCATCAATGAAATACAAATACTGCTTCAAAAAATATTATTAGGTGGTTTTTATAGAAAATATACAGGGTGATTCACAAACGTTGACCAAAAATGAATTAGTAAATTTTAAGGGGAGTCTTTCGTATAAAGTTTTTATCTAGGACGCTTCGTTAAAAAGATACAGGGTGTTAACATTAAAAAAATATTTTTAATTTCTTTTAATAATTTAAAAACTAATAAGTGAAATAATTTGAAATTGGGCACATGTATTTATGTTCAAAATCTAAAGCCTTTTTTTTTAAATTTAGATGCTTCAGTGCATCGGTGGCAAATTTTTCTAAATAAAATAGTACGCCACTGCTTTATGGTAAAAATGATTATATTTTCGGAATCGTCTTCTAGTTTTCTACAAATTACTACTCTCTTGGTTTTTCGAAAATAGCCTGATTATCGAGTAAAACTTAAAACGAACTGAAAACACCGAACCTCAACCCACTGGATTTCTTTTTGTGGGGTGCTGTTAAAGGATGATTCACTATATTTTGATCCCCCTTTAACTTTTTTGTTTTAAGAGTTATAAAAAAATATGAAATATAAAAGTTTCACGAGTTTTTATGAATTTTTTGAAAATGATCGAAAAACAAATAAAGTCCAAATAAAATGGCTGCGGATGTTAACTTTGTTAAGTTAAATGGAACACCCTGTATATTTTTACATATTTGGATAGAACGTTCCCTGTCGAGCATAGCTATATAGGGTTTGTTGTGCCCATCTGTAACAATAAGCAAGATACTTAAAAAAAAAGAAAAGAAGGTTTTATATTAAGAAAATAATACATCTTGTAATTGTTAGATCTCTTTCCGGGATTTCTGCCTTTTTTCCAATTACATAAGGATTTATAAATTTAGTTATAATATATTTTGATATATCGCACATTGATACGGTCCAAAATGCGTATAGGTAATGTAACGAAATCTCACTAATTAGGCCGTGAGAGGTCTAATTACTCATGGACATTATATGGTAGGTCGTGACAGTGACAGGTAGTAATGTATTGACAACATTGTTATTGATTGATAGTATGTATTATTATTTAATTAAAATGAGTTAGACTTAAAATAAGTTACACAGAAGTAGAAAATTATTTAGAATTAGAATAGAGTATGGAGAAGAACTTTGTTCTATTTTAATTCCTATACCCTTTTCCCTTTTCCAAAACACCCTCTATGTATGTATGTATGTTGGAGGGTGGTGGAATTGTTTTTCCATCACGGCACTTAGGCCTTATTAGGCCCCTTGTACACCCTTCTTCATTACTCGAGTACTTCTCTTCAAACCATCCTATTTACTACACGGGTGGCTTGGTGGCAAAGTCTCGTACAGTTTATGTATGATAGCATGGTCTTGAGTTACAGAGATGTTCTTTGCTCTGTTCTCATTACCATTTATCGGGGACAACACGCATGCGGAAAATGGTGAGCGACCCAGGTCTCTGGTAGGCTGCCACAGCCACATCCCCGAGCCTGCCTTAGGTCACCCATCCAAATTTCAGCCTGCGTCCGTGATGCATACCTCGGTAGATCGAAATCCACCGGCCAAGACACCCGGCTAGGCGGTCCCCAAAACACCCTCTATATCTCGCTTGTGTCCGCACCTCCACTTTGAGTTCAAGCGTACCCAAACGGGTCCCATATTGTTAATAAAACACCCAGTATATTAACCGAGCAGCACCAGTTAAACGCATTTAACACCTTTACCATTATTACCGTCTTGCCAGCTTTTTTAATGGCGACTTCAAAATTGCTATTAAAGTATAATAAAAAAAAGTATTAGTTTATTATGTATGTTGTAAAACCATTAAAGTTGACCTTGTGCCTTATTACATGTGACAATATGAAGTTTTTCGTTCTCAAATTTAAGTTTTTTTATTTTCGTGGATATTAAAATTATGATATCCGTGTAATTCAAACTGAAATTACGTAATAAATTATTTAAGAAAGCAAAAACTCACAGACACATTTTCAAACTGTATTTTACGTCTATATTTAAACGTGTAATACTTTCGAAAATGAAGGAATTTTCCTAAAAAATTGGTGCATAATTTCCTAAGGAAGTGTAAATCTTTTTGATACTGACAAGACAACTGATAAAGATATCTCCATGGATTTTCTAACAGTAATTAATATTGATAATGGACGCAGTGGGCAAATGTCGATCTGCTTTTGTTTTGGCATTTCCACAAGCTGCTTATTTCTCGCGGGCCGACAGAAACAGTCACGGCAGAGGCGACTGCGATTTTTACAAACACAATTATAGAACACGAAGATCATGCAAAACTGTTAAGTGCTTTGCGATGTATTTTAATTTAATTGTACGTCAATCGACGTTCAGAACTTAGAAAAATCTTCCGTACACGACAATATACTATAATTAACGATTCTGTGGAACTTGTTGTTGACAAAATATAGTTATTTGTGTAATTAAAGTTTTTTCGGTACGACACAAACTGCCTCTTTTATAAAGTCGACGAAAAACTGCCTTGGTTTGTAGTTTTTGGTATAAAATATTTCAAGTCAACAGGTAAATTTTACTGTTCTCAAAAGTTCTCAATAACAATAACAATGGTAATGGCAATGGCGACGGCAACGACAACGACTACGACAACCATAATCATAACCATAACAATAAGCATAACCATAAACCTAACCATAGGGTAGAAACATACTTAATGATGCGATCTATAACGGATCCCATCCGGATTGTGGAATCGATGGCAACGTTGCACAAAACAATTTACGTGTTTCACCATGTTACAATGACAATAAATCTTATAATCATTGTTCACTTTATTTTATGATAATTGGCACGCCTTTGATGCGCGGCCAATTATGACAGCTCTAACTACAACCATAGTCATAACCATAACAATAACAATAACCATAACCATGACGATACTGATTATAAGAAAGAATCAAACGAGTGAAAAGGAACTGAAAACAAAAGAAGATCAAGATCCAGATTTGGATAAAAAATTGCACTGTTTACACATAGTAAATATAAATGGTACAAATAGATAATTTTCATAAAAACCAAAAGATAATAGAAAATATAAAAAGAGAGCTTTAAAAGTATAGAGATAGATCATACGAAAAAGTCATTATTATCAACTTGCTTTATTAACTGTTAATTAATTACTTGCCAAACTTAAAAGATGTTGTTTTTTTAATTTATACTTGAAGGACAGAATATTAAAATGTTTTAAATACACGGGAATTTCATTATACAGGTATATTACATACGTTATAAATAATTAAATAAATTCTTCCTAAATATTACCCTTTTCTATATTGAAGATGAAATAAGTTCCTGAAATCTTATATTAGAAGTATGAGTATTTGTTCTATATTTAATCTTATTACACAAATAGGGAGGATGTTGACTTAGAATTATTTGACGAAAAAAATACCACAGCACGGAATTTACGCCTGTTTTGCATACAAAGTCAATTAACTATTTTTAATTTATACGAAACAAGTTGATGAATGAATCAGGTTGATCAACTTTCTGATTGAACTTTTTTAATCATATTAATATTTAATTTATCCAAACATGTCCCATAAATTACACCATATTAATTAAAATTACTTAAAACGACGCAATCTATAAGTTTTAATTAAAGAATAAAGAAGGATTTAGGGATAATATTACCTTACGCTTTTTCAGTCCCTTTATTATTATTATCAGCTTTAAAATGCAGGTACAAAACACAGTGCAAATTTCTATTACCTGTTTCAACTTCAAATTCTGACTGAGTATGCAACTTTATGAATACCATAACAAGACTTTGTAATTTTTCCGATTAGAAAATGAGACAAAGCATTGCAAAGCATTATTTATAATCTTTTTGTCACATCCGCTTTGTTACGGTGAAATGAATAATAAAGTTGAGTGTTAACAATAATCTACAGTTTTTTAAGCAAAGCTGTTAAATTATATATGTAGAAGCTAAGTGACACAAGCCCAAGCATTGATCCTTGTGGAACTCCACACAATTCTCATTCTTTATGATTACCCCTATCCGTTTGCGCATACTGATGCCTATCTGACAAATAACTACAAGAGAATGCAATTGGATTTGCTGAAAGTCGAACAAAATGCAAAATTGACAATAAAACTTCATGATTAATGATATTGAATGCATTTGAAAAATCTAATAGAACTGACGCTGTGGTCTCAGCTCTATTTTTCAAAGTTCTAATTATAAGGATTATTCAAAATTTCTGATTGTGAGCATACTGAATATTTATTATAAACATTTAATTCTCTTAACTCCTAATTTTTTCAGAACTTAGAATTATTATTATGCGGAAAAAATTAGGTACAAAGTATCGAAAAAAAATCAAATATAATTGCGTAGTTTTATTTGAAGTATGTACTACTAAAATATAAGGAAAATATGCTCAACATTATTTTCCGAAATAAACTTTTCCATCATTTTTTTAATTAAGTTTGCTATTTCACGCACCAGTAATTTTTGAATAGACAGCTTTGCAAGTGCTGTTAATCCGTCTTTACAATCTAAATTTAAACTTCTACCATCTTTTAAAAAACGCGCACAAAACAATAACAAACCTTTACACCACATGTAAACATATTAAGTTTAATAAAAAAAAGAAGCAGTAAATAGCTATTATTTGGTTACAAGCGGACTAAACAGAGCCCAAACTATATGTACAGGGTGTCCCAGTGTCAGCGTACAAAAATTTACCAAGGAGTAGACCGGACCAAAATAAGATTAAAATTCTTATAAAATATTTTTCTGCCATGCACTCTCACGGAGTTACAGGGTGTTGTTTAGAAAAACATAATAACAATTTTCCGCAATAACTCAGAAACCCTTCCAGGGAATTAAGTAATTTTTGG